GGAATGGCAGCTTACCTTATCAGAGTGCTTCTGATGTCCTAGGAGAGAGAGGGGAGAGTTCAGCAAAGACAAATACCACGTTCCCACATAGGAAAAAGGGCCCAAGATCCTGCAGGCACAGAGTTTTGGGGTTGATGAGGTGTCTGGGGTCACACAGGCCACCCCTTTATCTCATGCATCCACACAGTGGAGGGACCTGCCTGCAGCTGGAGGCCAAGGCCCCTGCTCTCAGTCCCATAAACCAGGAGTGTGGCCCCCAATCACGCTGCCCTTCTGATGCCTCGTTGGGACCCCAATATCTTCCCTCAGGTGCCACAGACCAGGAACAACTTCCTGAGGGTGACGACAGAGCACATTCTGCCTCGGAAACAGAACGTGACATCTGTTTGCATAGCACGTGATGCTCTCCAGACTGCTAGTTTCCACTGCATTTTCCCATTGGATCCTCACAGAACCCCTGACAGGTAGGTAAGGGAAGGAGCCCCCTGATTCGATGGACGTGGGCCGGACAGTGAGAGGTCGGGGAGCAGAGTGACCAGGGGACTGTCCAGGGAGCAGGGACAGGAGTTCAGGACCTGTCTTGCACATGGGATGCAGGGACATGGGATGAAGGGCTTGGACAAGTGAGATGCCGGGAGTCAGAGGCCAGCCTGCGGGGGGGCAGGTCTCACCGTCAGGAGCTCCCGGGCCGGCCTCCTGTTCTTCTCCTCCAGTTCGGAGATCAGGTTGCTGAACCGGCAGAGCTCCTCGCTGACCAGGACATCAAAGTCATCCTGTTGCTTCAGGATGTCCCCGTCCAGCTTCTCTAGCTGGGCCAAGAGGATGCTCTGCTGTTCCTCCAGGAACTGGCACAGATGAGCAAACTCGAAGATCACTTTCTGTCTCTTGGTGGCCACCTGACACTGAAGGGGCGGTGGGGGGAGGCCGGGGGTGATCCCTCTGTTTCCTTACTTGTCCACCCCCGGCTCCCTCTGGCCCACACCCACGTCCTCCACGTTCGGTGGAAAATCGGAGCCCCCGCCCCAGGTCCCTGCACTGTCCGCACAGCACGAGGCTGCCTCGTGGGCCCAGTCGCTTTTGGTCCTTACAGCACTTCAGCAAGTCCAGGAGGGCCTGCCGACTTCTCCTCCCCACCTCGCACAAAAACAGAGATGTGCTAGTTGGGGTGGGAGTCAGTGCTGGGACTTGAGCGACTTCCCACGGGCTACGCTGGCTACCCTGCCTTGGCTTCAGGGGGCGCTGGATCCCGGGGCAGGCCGGTGCCGGGAGGGCACGGAGACCTACCAGGAGGACTTGTATCCTCTCGTTTTCTCTTGACTGGATCCTTTGAATCTCCTCTCTCTCCTTTCTTAGACACTCAAGACACTTCTGTATTTGCTCCTGGGGAGACAGAGCACGAAGTTATGTTACATGGAAGCGATGACTGGTGAAGAGGGGTCAGCCCGCTGCCTCCAGGAGGGACACGCCCGAGGGAGGGAGCCCTCCCCTCGCTGCCAGCACCCGCGCCCGGACTGTCCTCGGCAGATGGCCCTCTCCGGGCCTTTTCCTTCTAGCTTTGCTCTCCAGGAACTCTGACCAGAGCTGTCCCCTCTCCCTGTGCCGGCACAGTCCGCAGCTCGGTTTCCCCATCTGAGCCTGGCTGCCTTCAGCTTAAAAACCCTAGTTTGTTTTGTCTTTGGTAAGTTAGATCTGGGATCTGTCCCCAGCCTGATATGCCCTTCTTTGAAAGTGTTCCAACTTGCTCGCATATCTCAAAGGGAACGCATACACACAATCCTTTCTTGTGAACAGAATCCATTTTCTGTGTATGATTCCAGACGGGAGAAGAAACCCAGATAATATAAAAAGAGTCGACACTCTGTTTTAAAAACTGCTTGCTCTAGAATAGAGTTAGGAACAGGTATTCACACAAAAATGTCCACATAGGGACATTCAGAACTATAATTAACGCTCTCACCGTCAAACGCTAGGGAGCTAATCGGCACAGACAGATGCCCACTTTTACTAAAGCACAAGGTGTAAATAACTAAAAAGAGCACGCAGTTAATGGTGGATAAGACTGCACACCACATGTTTACCGACCCTGCATATAAACACTGGTTTATTTACAAACATGAGCACGCACACAGACCTCCCCCCAAACACCACATGCACGGCAACCATGCACACGTTGGTGCACGTCACACACTATTTGCACAACTGCTCCCCCAAATGCAGACATCCTCGGAAGCGCCTGCCTGACCCACTGTGGTCACTCAGCCATCCTGCGTGTCCTTGTTGAGCCCCTGGTCTGTGCTGGCCATAAGTAAACAACACGGAACATGCTTCGGCACGCGCGTCTGGGCTCCTGCCTGAGGGGTGACAGGAAGAGGGAGACCCTGCGTCCCCGCTCCTACCCGGTAGGGCCCTGCTGCGTCCTCCAGGAAGCGCACGGTGTGTGCCCGGTGCTCCCAGGCCTCCCGGCACACCACACACAGCTGTGCCTCATCGTCCTCACAGAAGAAGTAGATCTTTTCCCCGTGCTCCTGGCAGACGTCCTCCTCGTCTGAGCCCGGCGGGGACACCAGCTTGAGGCGCTCGATGTTCTCCACCACGCTGGCCAGCTGCCAGTTGGGCCGGAAGTTCCCAGGGCGGAAAGGCTCTTTGCAGAGGGGGCAGGTGAGGGCCTCCTCGGGGTCCGGGCCTGGGATTTCGCAGTAGCGGGTGAGGCAGCCACGGCAGAAGTTGTGGCCACAGTCGATGGTGACCGGCTCCCTCAGGGTGCCCTGGCAGATGGGGCAGTTGACCTCGTCCGCCAGGCTGGTCACAGAGGCGGCTGAGGCCATGGCGTGCCTGTGCCCGTCGGCTCCTCAAGGTTACCGTCTGTGCGTGGCTGAGCAGGAAGGATCTGGGAGAACAGCAGACACACATTCATCCTCGCACGGCCAGACGCGGCACGTCTTAAATACACACCAATGCCCTCGTGGTCATGGACGAGCGCACACACGTGCACACGCACACACAGACACGCTTGCCCAAGGGCAGGGCACCCACCTGCATGCCCTGGTCCTCCTGTCCTCCTCCCAAAGGAGTGGACACACGCGCTCCAGGAGAGGGAGGGAGGAGGGGCCGCGGCATTCCAGACACGGCCTCAGTCACTGTCCGGGCTGCTGCCCACAGCCTGGGGCCCCGCGTTGCTCCCGTCCATCCTCACACGCTCGCGGTAAACGTGAAGTGGTATCTTGGCCGTCCACGGTCGGCAGAGATAGTCCTTGCTTTGGGGTGGGAGGGGGACCGGTCGGGGAGCAGAGACGCCACGCCAGCCCCCTGCAGTAGGACCAGCTGTGTCCCGGGAGATACGGGTATCAGCCGGCGCAGGGAGCGCGAGGGCGCAGATAAGGCGGCCCTGCTCGCGGAGCACTTCACCGGCCGGGCACCGGCTTCCACGGAGGTTGGAACGAGCCCTGTGTGGGAGCAGGAGGGAAACCCGCAGCAGCCGGCCCCTGTTAATGACCCACACCCCGGGCCCGCGTCCGTCCGCGGCGCGCCCCGAGCCCCCCGCCGCTCTGGGGCGGAGCCTCCGGGCTGAGAGCGCGCTGCTCCGGCAGCCGGCCCGCGTGTGCGTGGGAAGGTGAGGGCGCAGTGTGCACTCAGAGCTGAGTGTCCCAGAGCCCTGCCCTCACACAAACACCACGTGGGCCACCTGTGCACCTAGTTTCCACGTACCATATTTGAAAAAGTTAATTTTAATATTTATTCATTTTATGTAGCCCCAAATATGATCATTTCCAGTGTAACCAGTCTAAGAATTAGTAATGAGGTATTTTGCGTTCCTTCTAACTGATGTATAGTTTGGATGGCCGCGCAATCTCCGCTGGGACCGGCTGCATTCCCGTGCTCCGCGGCACCGTGGGGCTGGGGGCTCCCGTGCAGGGTGGGGGAGGGGCTGCACCCCCGGGAGGGCCAGGGCGGGCGGGAAGGAAACGGGGTACACACGCCAGCTCAGGTTCAGAGCGAGGGAAACAGCGCAGGGGGGATCGCTAGCGTCAGAGTGGGAGTTTCCTTGGGTTTTACGCAGAGATGCAGGGAGCGGATGAAGAACCGAGGCGTGGACCATCTTGTGGGGGGAAGGCCACGGGGGGAGCACCGCCGAAGCCAGGAGACTCGGACTGACCCCGCCTCGCAGCTCTCCAGCTCCGTGACCTAGGGGAAGTCACTTCACGCGTCTTTCTGTAAAATGAAGGTAATCATGCCTGTCCCAAAGGGCTGTTAGCTGATTGGGTGCAGTAATAGGAAAATACTGAGCCTACATAAATGTGCTTATTAAGTCCGTTATCTCTTGGGCTGAGTTTTCTAAATTTTAGGGACATAAATCATTTGTATTACAGTTTCTTGCCTTCTCCCGCCTGAAGTTAAAAACTAAAATCGAAGGACACTGTGACCCAGCGTCACCGTGTTTGGGGGCACTGGGTCCAGGCCTGGCGACAGTAGAGTTTAGGAGGCCAGCCTGGGTGGATGAGGTGACGAGCTGAGGAAGCAGAGGAGGGGCCCCGACCGTGCCTCCCAGGGCAGCCTGGACTTTGACGCTGAGAGCACATCCCAGAGCCAGAAGCTGACGGCTCCCACCTGTTCCGATGGCAGGAAGCTGTGTCTCCTCCTTGTGTCTCCACCCCACAGCGGCCAAGGGTGGGGTTCCAGGAAACCCATCTCCCTGTGAGCTCATGCACGCTGGGCTCCCCACCCCAGGGACAGAAGGAGACAGGAGTGGAGAACGGGCTGACCAGGCTCCTGCTGGGAAATGCTGGGTCATTCGAGGTGCCCTGGAGTTTGAACCCACTCAGCTGATGGGTGGTGGCCAGGTGGCGCCCGGTGGCTTCCCAGGCTGAACTCTCCTGCTTTCTTCTCTCAGCCTCCTATCGTGTTCCCTCCATGACTCACGCAGAAGTGACTAATTTCACGGATGGGGGATTTGTGTGGCCTGAGGCAGAGGCTTCCGTGGACAGGCTGGGGATGGCACCAGGATGCCCTCCACACCTTCCCATGAGGAGACCACCTATCCGGCCTGCAGGGGACCCCCGAAGGATGCAGTGGCCAGCGCCTGTGGACACATCTTCTGCGGGGCTTTGCGTCCTCCCGCCCTCCCAGATGGGGGCCCAGCCCTCCGGCCAGGTGCTGCTCTGTGCACTCTGCAAGGAGAAGGAGCCCATGGAGCCTCTCGTGGCCCCTGTGCCCCTGGGCCCTCTGGGGGAGACAACTATGAGCAGCATGCTGAGAAGATTTACTTCTTCTGCAAGGTCGATGCTGAGTTCCTCTGTATGGTCTGTTGGGAGGGTCCCTCCCACCGCACCTACCCCGTGGGCGTCCTCGACGGGGCGGTTCAGCCCTACTGGGTAAGATGGATGGCTTTTCCTTGGGCCTGTGTGGGCTGGGACAGTGTCCCGTCATCCACAGTGAAGAGAACCGATAGGGATCTGGATGAAGGACCATGGTTCCCCGGGGACGTAAGGCCGTTCCCAGGCTTAGGGGGACTCCTGCCTCAGGGGCCCCGCGGGGACAGAGCTGTGGGGTGGAGACACAAGGAGGAGACACACCTGCAGGATGAGTGCTGTGCAGGGAGGGTCTTCTCCCACAGTGGGCAGGGTGAACTTGGTCTCCCAGGACCCACACTGGGTGTGGGATCTACCGAGGCCCAGACTGCGGGGCTCAGAGGGATGCGAGGGGCCAGGAAGGGCAGCCTGCAGGTGCCACTCTTCCTTGTGAGAAGGGGAGGCCCGATGTGGCCCACCTGTGTCGCCCCCTGCCCCCCACCCCGGGCTGCCCTCAGATCGCTCTGCTCATCCAGTGTCCGGGTCTAGAAGTGACTTTCTCAGAAGCACCTCTTGAATCTTGAACTCGGCCTTGTCCCCACAACCACCTCCAAATGCAAGCTCTCGCCATCCTCAGCCAGACCTTGCATAGCTCGAACGCACTCCCTATGTCCATTCTCACCCTCTCAAGCACCCTCCAGTCCACCAAAACACACAGCAGACCAAGGTGCGCCCCTGTGCCAATCCCTCCCGGGGTCCCCAGCGCCGGGAAAGCCCGACCTCATCAGCAGGGCACCAATGCCATCTGTAGTGAGGATGAGGATCCCGCCTGTCCACCTCAGCCCCAGCCCAGCCGCCCCCCAGGCACCGCGTGTCCGGCGGACTGGCCCGTGTGCACCTGCCGTCTCCTGGACGTCTCTGCTCTTTCCTGCTTCTGACTCTTCCTCCCAGACTGCTGTCCTCTCCCTGAACTCTTTCTTTTTAAACCACTTTAGCAATTTCTAAGTGTACAGTCGGGGCATGCGGTCCTCACCACCCCCTCTCTAGACCCACTGTAAATGCCTTCTGTCTTTGAAACCTCCCCTTGTTCCGCTGCGTTCCCACCCAGCCGCTCGCACACTGACCCCGCCTTCGTCTGTCTGTACTTCAGCCCCGAGTGACCGGGCTGGTGGCGACCTCAAGGTAATCTCTGCAGGAATACGGACGGGAGCTATTCACCTTTGGCTCTCTCACCATCAGCCATGCACCTGGGACTCAGCGGACAAGACCTGTGGACTCAGCCACCTCTTCCTGCCCATTCTTCTCCCCACAGGACCATCTCCGGAACCAGTCGGAAGCCCTGAGCTTGGAGAAGAAAGAGATGGAGGACACACAGAGGCGGGAAGACGGGAAGCTTCAAGTGCTTCTGGTAAAGTGCTTCTGCCACCTGCCCTTTTGGGGTTTTCTGAGCAGACTCCGGGGAAGCTTGCTGTCTGGTACTTTTGTACTGTTCTCATTCACTTCCTTGCCTCTGTACGAGGGCATTTGGGGTCAAGGCTATGGAATCCCAGAGCTTCACAGCTGGAGATGGTTCTGACATCTAGCCCAAGACCCATCTTACCAGCCATTCTACAGAGCCGAGAACTGGTCCAGGAGCGTGACGGTCCACAGAGAGCAAAGCTCACGTTCATGAGGACATGGCTTCAACCTGGGTCTTTCTCTCTCTTAACATTTATTTATTTGAGAGAGAGAGAGAGAGTAGGGAAGGGCAGAGGGAGAGAGATAAGCAGATTCCCCGCTGAGCTCAGAGCCCAACGCGGGGCTGGATCTCACGATCCTGAGATCACGACCCGAGCTGAAATCAAGCCAGATGCTTCAGCGACTGAACCACCAGGCGTCCCTAGAAGCCGGGTGTCTTGACCCGGAGCCACCCTTCCCATCCCAGTCTGTGTGCCCAAAAGCACTGCCCTCAGACGGGAAGGGTGGGGCAGAAGCTGGTACCCGGGTCTGCTTCCAGTCCTGACCGAGGCTGGCCTGCGCACTGTGGGAGAGTGGTGTACTGGTGAGCTCCTCAGTCATCCCGGAGGAAAGCCGCAGTCTGAGAACTTCTGGAGCCCTGAGCAAGGCGGCAGAGCTGGAGGCAGGAAGAGACGCGCAGCACTCCTCTGCTCCCTCCCAAGCGTGCCGTGCAGAAGGCGACGTCAGGGCCGGAGAGTGATGCCGGACCCTCCGTGCTGACTCGAACCACGGCCTGTTTCCTTCAGTGGCTCTCTGACGGACGACTACCACCTGCTCCTCCTGACTCTAGGGAAGGCATGGTGGGGTTAGGACGGTGTTGTAGATGGGCAAGGATGCTTGAAAAGTTCAACACGGCTCTGAGGGCGTATGGGGCATTATTAGAATCCCCAGGTAAGACAAGAGCATAGCCCTCCTTGCTGCCAAGTCTATTCTGAGACCCATCTGCTTCTAACATAGTATTGGGAGAGCTAGTGACTCCCTATGTCTCTGAATCAGGAAGATCCAGATGATCCTCCTGCAGACCGGCCTCTTGATCTTCTTCCCGGCCCTGTCTATCTTTCCACCCCTCGCAGACTCACATTGAAAGCAAGAAGCAGCAGGTGGACACGGTGTTGGAGAGGTTGCAGCTGGAGCTGATGGACCAGCAGCGTCTGCTGCAGGCCAGGCTGAGGGACCTGGAGAGGAAGAGCTGCATGGAGAGAGACGAATACATCTTCAGGTCATCTGAGGAGGTCGCCAGGCTTGGGGCCCAGGCCCAGGAGCTGAAGGAGCTGCTGCAAGTGAGGCCGTCCCCACCACCCCGTGGGCTAGGAGAGGGGCCGCACAGGCGGGGACGCCGGCAGAGGCTGGGGCTGCTGGACATAGGCAGGAAGGGCAAGCGAACCTTGTTTCTGCTGGGAGGGACTGCCAGTCCTTGGGTTCCTTCGGCCTGGAGAGCTGACAGATGCGCAGACCCAGGAAGGCTGGATGACTCGCCACCCACCGGGGTCGTGTCGAGGACTTTGGAGTCAGAGGGCCTTAGGTTTGAGGGCAGGCTCTTCCAGCCGTGTGACCATGGCGAGCCTCGTGAGCCCCCTAAACGTGGGGATAATAATGGCACCTCCCTCACAGAGCTCGTGCAAGGATTGTAAGAAACAATCCATACAAAATGTGTAGCATGGTCCCCGGCGCACACAGATTGCAGTGTGATTATCGTGGTATCATCCCGTTTCACATCAGGTCCGGCGGGTAAGTCAGGCCTGGACCCTGTTCTCCAGCATCCCTCAAGCCCTGGAGGTAGAACACAGTTCCGAGAGAAGGCTAAGACAAAGAAGCCAGCTCAAATGACCTGAGCAGTGTCCCCAGTGAGTCGGGAGGTGTGATGTAACGAGCAGATACAGCTCTCTGGAAGAGAGAGCTTTGAGGCCGACGCTAAGGAGGACAGGCTGTGCAGTTGCGGTGGGAAGGACTTGTGGACCCTGAGAGATGTTCTTTTCCTTTGTAGGATGTCCAAGCCAACCAGAGCAGATAGGTCTCCTTTCTGCCTGGAGCGTACACTTTGTTCTTCTCACCTCTGTTCCCCTGGACACAGAGACCGAGGGGGGTCACTCTCTACCCTGCCCCCCACAGAAATGCAAATTCACTTTGACACACACACACAAACAGCCTCCACGTAAAATTCTGTGCTCTAAGAGTCCATTTTTTTAATGTTTTTTTTTTTAAAGATTTTATTTATTTATTTGACAGAGACAGCGAGAGAGGGAACACAAGCAGGGGGAGTGGGAGAGGGAGAAGCAGGCTTCCTGCCGAGCAGGGAGCCTGATGCGGGACTCCATCCCAGGACCCTGGGACCATGACCTGAGCCGAAGACAGACGCTTGACGACTGAGCCACCCGGGCGCCCCTAAGAGTCCATTTTTAAACTGGTTGTTTGGTACCAGGGATACAGTTCTCCCCTGGAGGTGAAGTTATTAAAGCCATAATCATGTTTTTAGGCTGATGCAGAAACATCTGTTTAATTCCCGAAGTTATTGGTGCTCGAGTCCATATTGAACAGCATGTAAACTGTAACTCCAAGGGGAGATACCTCCTATAAACTGTGGTAGGCAGAGCAGAGCGGGGGAAGACCAACCTGTCCTTTCGGCCGTGTCCCCCCAGCTCAGCTGCTGCATGTCCTTCCGGGTCACAGACACCACCACAAAGGGAAGCTGCTGGTCCCGTCCTGTCCCCTGCTGGGAGCACCTGTCCCTTCTCCGTGCTCGCCTGGTGAGGAACACTTCTCAGGGAGCCATAAGAACCTGGACCCGGGGCCCGGGACTCAGGAAGTGTCTCCCAAACTTTCCAAGAGTGTTAGAGGTGTGGAGCTAAAGGGCTGTGCGGGTCTTCTGGTCTGATGAGGACCCTGAGCCTGCTCGCGGTCAGACCGTGGGGAACGGGCAGGGATGGAGCTGATTCGTGTTTTCTCTCATCTCTTCCCCGCCCCAACCCCCTTTCCCCTAGTAATGAACAGCACCCAAATTAGAAAGAGGAGTTTAAGGTCGTTTTTTTTTTTCAAGTGACACTGTACTGTCTTCTAGAGGCAAACAGGGTAATGACCTCTGCCCCTTGCAGCCTCCGCAGACCCCAAACATTCTCTTAAAGGACCCACCTCTAATTCTTAAGGGACTGATTGTCTGTAGGTATGAGACAAAGACTTTTGTGAGTCCAGAGACCATTTCTCCAGACCTTGTTGAGAAGATCCGAGATCTCCACAGGAAAATACTCCCCCTCCCAGTGATGCTGAGGACCTTCTCAGGTAAGGGGGAGGGGCAGCAGTTTTCCCCATCCCCTGATGGCAGAACAGCAGTATCTTCCACCCATCACCGTCTTCCGCTGCCTGCCAAGCCTGGTTCACGGTGTCTTCCTTCCCTTAAGTCTTCCCTTGGTGGTCCCACTCTGCCCAGCAGGACCATCCTGAGAGCATCTTCTCTCCCCAGGGGCCCGCACTGAGCTGAGCGTCCAGGCAGGTGAGGGCTGCTTCTGTCTCAGTAGACCCCAGCAGAAGGCACAGAGCAGAAGGCCATCCCCTGCCCCTGTGCTCACATGGTTTCCAGCACTGCCCTCGGGAATGCCTGTGGGAAATAACAAGTCACACCTCTTTCTGTTTCTGTTTCCCTCAGAAAACCTGGCGCATCATCTGGAAACAGACTCAGGTAAACAGCTGGGGGCTTGGGATCCATTCTCGCCTCCCTCCACTCAATCCAAGCCAGGAAACAGAGCAATTACATATATGAAGTCTGGAGCTTGATCCCTGGGTCCTCTGTTCTCGCTCTTGCTGGTTATGAGCCATGGGCAAGCCAGTGTACCTCCTGGTTCCGGTTTGTTCACCTTAAAATGGAACACACACTAGTCCTGACCCCATGAGCAGCCACGAGATAAAGGAATGCATACATGTCAGGAGCTTAGTGCTGTTAATGTTTGTTCCGCGTATGGATATTATTTCCTCAAAAATACTTACGAAGGTCTTGGCTGGGTGGGTGTGTGTTCTGCCCAGCATCGTGCCAGGCTCTGTTGACTTAAACACATATTGTATAATTTTAAAAAATAGCATTTACTTCGAAGATGGTGCTTACTTTAGAAACTATTTCCACAAATATCACCTCATTCTGCGTCTCAAACTTAACTGCAGAAGGAACAGCCGGGGGGTCTTGTTAAAAGGCAGACTGTGGTTCAGTAGGTCTGGGACGGGGCCCAGGATTCTGCATTTCTCCCCGGCCCCCTGGCCAAGCGGATGCCGCCGCTCTCAGAAGCGAACCCCGCCCCAACGCAGGAGCACTGGCAGGCCGGGGGAAGGCCGCCGTTCTCTGCCCGGAGACGGAGGGGAAGCCAGGCGTTGGCAGGCCGCGCAGCGCCCCCCACGTCGCGCGCGCTCTAGGGCGCGTCTCCCCAGGCCCCCCTCTCCTCCCGCAGGGGCCGTCACGTCCTGTCTCCGAGGACCTGCCGCATGGCCCCCTGCGCTCCGAGGGTGTGCCGGCGGCGCGGGGCTCCCCCGGCTGCCCCTCCGGGCGCCACCCCG